AAATCATTCCAGTTTCCCCTCAGATAGAACTGAAATTAATATAGAGAATTATTTTTTCTTTTTCTAAAGAATTAAAACCTTCATTATGCTAAAGAAATAATGTTTTAATAGTTAGAATTCAACTTAGTTTAAAATGGAAGAGAATATATTGATAGGCTTTTCTGTCACTGAAACCACATCATGAACCCTAGTTCCAAATACTAGTATTTAGTGATTTCTTAAATCCTTGTAGTTTAAAATGAATAGTTTGTTTCTTATTTAGGAAATTGCTATGGTAGGAAGTGGTTCTGGTATTGCTATCAGGGTTTTTTTTTTCTTGATTTTGTGTTGCTGGTTCTTGTCACTCTTCCCCCATTGAGTCACAATAAATTTTACCTTTATTAAAATATATAAAAGAAGCCCTGGCTGGTGTAGCTCAGTGAATTGAGCACAGGCCTGTGAAACAAAGGGTCACTGGTTTGATTCCCAGTCAGGGCACATGCCTGGATTGCAGGCCAGGTCCCCAGTAGGGGACACATGAGAGGCAACCACGCATTGATGTTTCTCTCCCACTCTTTCTCCTTCCCAGCCCCTATCTCTAAATAAATAAGTAAGTAAATAAATAAATAAATAAATAAATAAACATTTTAATTAATAAATATTTTAATTAATAAATAAAATATATAAAAGTGAATTATAATGGCTCTGATGGAAGGGGTCACTTTGAAAACTTGTTTTGTAATTTAGAATACTAAATAAGACCTCATGTGTACTTACCTAACATCAGTAGATGGCAGCAAACACTCTCCTGTGAAGGGTTATGGATGTGGGGATTCCGTTTTATTTGAATAGAGTTAAATTCAGAAACAGGATCTCATCAAAATGGTGGTCTTTTGGTAATCCTTATGGAAGGGTTTATTTCTAGTTCATTTTACCATTCATACCATGGAAATAAAGGCTGAATAACTTACTGCCATGAAACCTCATTAATGGAACTCTACCCATAGGAATTGGTTGTAATTTAAAAAGTGGTTTGGGCTGAATTTTATTTGCCTTTGTTCATTATATTGAAAAGAGTTTGCTCAGCAACTTAATAATATAACTTTTTTAAAAGACTAGAAGTTAATAGAACTATGGTTTCAAGGGACTTTAAAATCATTATTTCCTTTAAAAATAAAGAAGAAGAAGTAGTCCAGGTTCTTACACATTAATAGTTGTCTTGGATAAGTATAGTTCTCAGTGATGTAGAAATCTGTGAGACAATTTGAAAAATTGAAAAGTAACTCAGAAACTGTTAAATTGGTGACGCTCTAGAAATATAACTCAAGTAAAATACATTCTTCCATGTCTGTCCTAAAATATGGGGCATTTACAAAAGGTACATATATACAATGGAATATAAAAGAAAATGCGTAATTTTATTTGAATTTAATTCAACAAACATTTATTGAATACCCAGTATATACCATACACAGTGCTGTGAGAGGGGACACTGAAGATACAGAAATGAATAAGACATGGCTTCTGTACTTAAGATACAGTCTGTAAGGGGATTTCAAATAAATAGTTATAGATATGTGGTGTATTAAGTATAGAGAAAGAGAGCAAGGGAAGGAGAAAGAGAGAGCACACAGTAGTCCAGAGAAGGGATATTATTAACTTCATTCAAAAGAAGCATGGAAAGCTTCCTAGAACTGGCAAAAGTGAAACTGATTTGAAGCATGAATAGGCACTTGCCAGGAAGACAACTTAAGAAGGACATTACAGGCAAAGAATAGCATATAAAGAAGGTATGAAGACATATACCTGGAAACTTTAACTTATTCACTGTCACTAGAATATAGAATCAATTGCTGGTGGATAAAGGGACTGGAGTTTTAGGAGAGGAAGCTAAATTATTAAGCAGGAGCTGATCATGAGCTACAATTGATTGGTTATGATCAAAGTATAGGGTTCTAGTGGGGAAATGGTGAGATGAGATGTGAGAATAAAACAAGAACCAGATCATAAAGAACCTTACATTCCATGCCAAGGAGTTTGAACTTGACACTGTAGGTGTTGGGGAAGCATCAGTGACCCCTTGACCAAAGAATCAAATGATCAGGTCTACACTTAGAGCATCCTCACAGAGGTATGGAGCCTAGACTGAAGTGGGCAGAGGCTGGAAATAAGAAGTCCAGTTAGGAGGCTTTTGAAATAGCCCAGGAAAAATGTAAGGGAAACCCAGCTAGAATAGTAGTGGTGATGAAGGGACAGATTCAAATAGTATCTAGGAGGTAAACAGATACAGGCCCAGGACCCAGTGAACAGTTGCATGTGAGGAGTGAAAGTAAAAGACGAGTCAAAGATGCCTCACAGTTTTCTGACTCAGGCTACTGGATAGATGGATGGTAGTACAATTGACTGAGATTGAAAGCTACAAGAGAAAAATAATTATAATAACTCACATTGTACAAGTCTTAATGTAACCTAACTAAAACATGGACTCCTATTACAAAAAACAAGCATCCACCAAAAAATAATAAACCTGATTAACAATCCATGAGCAAAACATTTAATTAATTATTTCTCAAGATACACTGTCTGGCCTGGCTGGTGTAGCTCAGCGGATTGAGCATTAGCCTGTAAACCAGAGGATCATGGTTCAATTCCCAATCAGGGCACACACCTGAGTTGCAGGCCAGTTCCCAGCAGGGGATGCACAAGAGGCAACCATATATTGATATTTCTCTCCCTGTCTCCTTCCATTCCCCTCTAAAGATAAATAAATAAAATCTTTAAAAAAAGATATACTATCTACTGGTAGCTTTAAATTAAGTTGCTCACTAGCTCAGAAAATGAACCATTGTCTAAATGAATGTGAGGCATTGTCTGAAGCACAGTTCAGTACTTGAAACATATTTTTTGTTCTTAATTATTTAGCCAACAAATATTTGCTCAGTGGAAGCCACTATTCTACGCACTGAAGTTACAGGGATGAAAATACAAAGTTCTTTCCCACAAGAAGTACATGAGTCTCATTAGAAGGATGAGAAAAGACTTCACAGAGAATGACTTGAGATTATACTTAAGTGGTAAATAAGAATTCATGGGTTAAATAGGAAAGGGAAAGTGGGGACATCTGCAAAGACCTAAGCCTTGGATAGTAATAGTGTTATTAGGATATAAAGTTGGGGGGAATAAGAAAAAAGGAATATGAAACTAGGCTGGTCAGGTAGGAGCTAGATGAAACCTGATGGTAAAGAGCTTTCTATGGCAGACTAAAGAATTTGAACTTGATCCTTCAGTGAAGAGAAACTTTTGAAGAATGTAGAACAATGTATTGAAATCACTCTGAATTAGGTTGACCATACATTTCAGTTTATACTGAACAGTCTCAGATTATGAATTTTATGTTACTATACTTCAACAGCATTATGAGAGAGAAATCAGAAAATGCAGAGTTTTGAGGTAGATAACAACCAGAACAATTGTTTGGAAAAGAGATGTTGAGGGCCTGAACAATGACAGTGTGGTCCTGGTAATGAAGAGTAGGGGATGAATAAGAATGATGATTAGAACACAGAATCTACAGACCTCTTGATTAGTTCATGTGTGTAAATCCCATTTTACTAACTCTCTCTACTCTTCTTTGGGACAGGGGCCATGATAGTAAAATAGAACTCAAAGGTAATAATACTGATACGTTTGCTTCCAAAAATAAAGAAGGAATGCCTGAGATATCCAAATAAACAACTGTCTTCAAAGCAGTCCCCTTGAGAAGCTGCACTCTTATTTATACCCATTATGCTGTGGCCAAGAGTTGTTCTGCACCTGTTTGAGCACTGTAATGAAGAGTCAAATGTCATTTCCTCTGGATTTATTCTGAGTGGTGGAAAGTATTTATCTTCTGAGTGGTGGATTTGATATTTTCAAATAATAAAACCAATATTTTTCCAGATTCAAACATGATAGATTAATATTTTTGTGTGTATGACTTATAAACTTCATAAAATGTGAAGCAATCTGTAGAAACAGAAAGGTTAGTGGTTGCCTAGGAATTGATTGGAAATCTGAGGGGAGATGAAAAGTGACTTATAATGGGTATAAGTTCTCTTTTTTGTATGATGAACATGTTCTGATATTAGATCATGATAAAATTTAGTAAATGTGTACAACTCTAAAAATTTAGTAAAGGCCATTGAATTGTACACTTTAAATGGGTAAACTTTATTCTATAGAAACCATACCTCAATTAAGTTATTAAAGGTGTTTGTAGTGTTAGTAGGGTCCTAGGTTCAGGGATGTATTTTTTTAAAGCATGAGTCTCATTACTTTATGATTAGATTTTCTTCCCATCCCCATCCTCATTGCCCATTGCACAGTAATGGGTTCATAATAATTGCTTAATAGTTATTTGTCCAACATAATTGAATGTAGTGTAGTACTTGATTTCATTCCATTTCAGAGAAGATAGTGATTTATTTTATTTTATTTATTTTTAGGGAGAGGGGAAGGGACAAAGAAAGAGAGGGAGAGAAGCATCAATGTGTGGTTGCCTCTTGTATACCCCCACCAGGGACCTGGCCCACAACCGAGGCATGTGCCCTGGCTGGGAATCAAACCAGATACCCTTTGCTTTGCCAGCAGGCAGTCAATCCACTGAGCCACACCAGCCAGTGTGAAGATAAGGATTGTATTATATAGCATGTATAAGTTCCTAGATGTTTTTATGTCCTAATCTACAATATTATTTTATGGGTACTTATAATAAATGTCTAGTTATGAGCAGTTCTTTCTGTTTCCAAACATAATCAATTTTGAATATAAACAGCATAGTTATTACCATTACCTTAATTAATATATTACTATTTGATATTTTAGTAAAATGTATCATTATTCATATAAATTATAGAAATCACATGGGAATGCTGTTCTAATATTTTGTCATTGACTGTGGCATCTTAATTTTCAGTATTACATAAAAGTATATCAATCAATTTTAACCTCTCTCTCTCTTTTTCCTCCCCGCCCTTACTCAGGAAGCATTGTGAGTGTTGGTGATCCAAAGAAAAAATACACGAGATTTGAAAAAATTGGTCAAGGGTAAGTGATTATTATTTGAAACATCAAAACATACATGCCAAAGATATACCTTGAAATTCAATAACAGCTTGGATTTCTGGTAAATTATGCTTCCCATTTTCTGGGTTATATTCATGTTTGCATATTAAATGTTTGCCTTTCTGGTTGGCTTTTATTAATAATTAACCAAGGAACATCTTCTTCTGGAATCTTCACTATTGTTGGGTGGACGCTGAAGTTTTGGGGGACATTTTGATCCAGTATATTTTGAAAATTCAAATAGATTTCTCTAGAAAAGCAGTAAGGTTATTAAAAACCTGTAGTTTGTATGAAAACCCCCTTTATCCCTGTCCCCCTACATCTGTATGAATATAATGCTTAAGATCCTATTTCCTTGTCAAACTAGAAAGTGACAGAATGGGGGTAGGGAAATTTCATATTGAATAATCCAGAGATAGGCAGAATTGACTATCCAAATAAAGAGGAAACCAATCAATAGTCCCTAAAAGAAATAGGGAGCATCATTTTTGTCTATTATGCTTGTTAAGAATAAAGAAGAAGCTCCTACCCTTTGGGATAGCATGGATGGAACTGGAAAGCATTATGCTGAGTGAAATAATCCAGGAGGTGAAAGACAAATACCATATGATCTCACCTTTAACAGGAACCTAAACAACAAAATAAACAAGCAAGCAAAATATAACCAAAGACACCGAAATAGAGAACAGGCTGACAGGGACCAGAGGGGAGAGGGGAGGGAATTTCAGGGGAAAAGGGGAAAAAGGGTTTACAGGACCCTTTATACAAGTATAAAGAACACATGGACAAAAACTAAAGGGGGTAGAAATGGGAGGGAGGTGAGGAGCACTGGGGGGTGAGCTGGTATGGGAATAAAAGACAGAAAACTGTACTTGAACAACAATTAAAATAAATACATTTTTAAATGTATTTATTTTAATTCTTGTTCAAAAACAAAAATAAAAGGTTCCCAAACCTGACTATCAGAGACTTAATTTAGAAGTATGAAGCAGGGACCAGAAAACTGAACTTTGGAAAAGTTCTTCAGATAATCTTGACCATTAGTTAGACATAAAAACCACAGGGCTAGATCATTTACCAGAGCTAAAGATAGGAGTTATCAGTTCTACAAGTCAGCTGTAATTACATATGTTTCTTACCCCTCAATGTGAAAGTAAGCAGGGAGGCTTGAGTAGGTAACAGCATTTGAAACACGAAAAAGTTTTGTTTAAAGAAAAAGGAAGTGTTCTTAAAGGCTGTCCTAAAATGAAGAATGGGACAAGATATTTGAGTGTACCAATTAACTGTATGCCAGGAACCAATTTAGTACCTCAGAAGTCTCCTGGATGTGATAAGGAACTGAGAAGGAAAGGACATTCTAATGTGCCTGCAAAATGGTGCTAGCCCCTCAGCCAATAGTGTTTGTTTTTTGATAAGGGAACGTAGGATTTCTTCAAGCACTTCATTGCTGTTTCTGGAATTCTTAGATTCAAAAATTATATATTGTATATAAGCTTGACCATTTTAAATAATATTTTATATTTTCTTTATTTCCGCCTAGCTTTTGAACTAAAGTTTCTTTCGAAATTGCCAAGTTATCTTGACAAATATGGGAAGCATTCATTACATTTTGGCTAGAGGGTAAGAGGGATATATCTTACCCCCTAACTTGTGGGGATTATGATTTGTGGGAATCAAGGTAAGAAAACCCTGAGAGGGAGGCATAAACTCAGGGAGAAATATATACCCAACCTTCTTCCATTAAAAACCATAATGGTGTGGCATTTCTAGGAGGCTAAAATATATACCTGTTTGTGCTTTTGCTTCTTCTTTTGTCATTTGATATCACTGGTATTCTCACTTGTTCATAAAAAAGTGTTTTGTGGTTTCTAGGGACCCTCTATCACTTAAACAACCAGATAGTATGTCTACCCATTTCTCTATAACAATGCTGTCCGATAAAACTTTCTGTGATGATGGAGATGTAGTATATCTGTACCATCCTATATGGTAGACACTAGCATGTGTGGCTGTAGAGCACTTAAAATATGTCTAGTGCAAATGAGAAACTATTTATTTGAATAATTTATTTTTCAGCACACTCATAGATGGGTATTGATGGTGTGAGCCCTTGAGGAACTTGAAGTCTGCAATGATAAATATTTGACAGAGGGCTACGCAGACTGCAATGAGAATATCAAGACAAATCTAGTAAATTCAGCAGCAGAGATGGCTCCTGTAGCCATTATTTCCCACCTGGAGTTTTCCTTCTTCACCTCTGGTGGACTGGTTTTTGTACTTTGGCAAGGAAGCCATGACTTCACATTTCCATATGCCAGGCTCAAATGGCTTTTTTCATGCCCCAAGATAAACTCTATGAGGTAGATTGTAAAATCACAATATTATGTATTAAAAAGGTTCAGAAAGTAAAAGTTGGCTCTTAGATTTTATTTTAATCAGGTGGGTCTTAGGCGGAACTAACAATAGGAAAGTATACACAATCCACAAAGAAGTAGCATTCTAGATCTTTGCTGCCCAATACAATAACCATGTAGCTATTGAGCCCTTTATATGTGGTTGGTCCAGATTGAGATATGCCATGAGTGTAAAATATGTACCTCATATCAAAAAATTCAAAGGGAAAAATGGTATAAAATATTAATACATTTTATATTGGTTATATGTCGAAATAATATTTTATATACATTGTTTAATATATATTAAAATTAATCTCACCATTTACACTTTTAAAATATAGCTCTCAGAAATTTGAAAATATAGCTCACATTCTATTTCTTTTTGTTTTGTTTTATTTTTTAAATTTTATTTAGTTATTTTTCAAGTACAGTTTTTTTGTCTATTTCCCCATCCCAGCCTCCCCCACCCCATGCTCCCTACCTCCCTCCCATTTCCACCCCCCCTTAGTTCTCGTCCCTGTGTCCTTCTTATTTGTTCCTCCAAATCCCTCCCCTTTTTTCCCCTTAAATTCCCTTCCCTCTCCCCTCTGGTCACTATCCCGTTGTTCTCTATTTCGGTGTCTTTGTTTTTATTTTGCTTGCTTGTTTATTTTGCTGTTTAGCTTCCTGTTAAAGGTGAGATCATATGGTATTTGTCTTTCAACACCTGGCCTATTTCACTCAGCATAATGCTTTCCAGTTCCATCCATGTTGTTGCCAAGGGTAGTAGCTCCTTCTTTCTCTCTGCTGCATAGAATTCCATTGTGTATATGTACCACAATTTTTGGATCCATTCGTTTACTGATGGGCACCTAGGTTGCTTCCAACTCTTGGCTATTGTAAATTGTGCTGCTATGAACATTGTGGTGCATAGGTTCTTTGATATTGATATTTTAGGATTCTTAAGATATAATCCTAGTAGTGGAATTGCTGGGTCAAAAGGCAGGTCGATTTTTATTTTTCTGAGAAAATTTCATACTGTTTTCCATAATGATTGTACCAGTCTGCAATGCCACCAACAGTGGACTAAGGACCCCTTTTCCCCACAACCTCTCCAACATTTGTTGTTTGTTGCTTTGTTTATGATAGCCATCCTGACTGGTGTAAAGTGGTATCTCATTGTGGTTTTAATTTGCATCTCTCTGATAGCTAACTATATTGAGCATCTCTTCATCACATTCTATTTCTAATGGACATCACTGATCTAGTTGTAGGTTTAAATGTGAGAGTTATTTATTTATTTATTTAATTCATGAAGTAGATATTTTAGAGTTCTCTTTTGGGGAGTGGGGAGTAGAAGATGTTGAAGTGTGGGAGTAAACCACAATTTTGTTTTGATTATTTATTCCCACTAAGACCCAACTGAGCCAAAAATAGAATTTATTTTTAAAAAAGGAAAAAAGGTAGTGATGGTTTAAATATCTCTGAGATACTAGATAATGAAGCAAGACTTATTTCTCCATAACAACAAAGATTAGGCCACCAAAGGACTTCGAATAGCAAAGAGTTTTGCCCTCTAGGTTGATAATTATGCTTCTGATCTCTGGAGGTGCAAAATGAAAATTCGCTTTTTCTGCATACCTTTGTAAAGCCTTCATAATCTAAAATGGAAAATTAAAGCAGAAATACTGCTTGTCACTGCAGAAAGTTCTGTTTTAAATTTCTAGCAATTTCCTCATTTTAAAGAATAATGAAACCAGCAGATGGTTTACTCAGAGGCCCAATTCAACTTTTAAATAAGTTCTGAGAAGGGAGGGAAGTCTATTTTATTCCTCATTTTGTCTCTTAGTGTCTAGCACAGTGCTTTTACACTTAGTAGCCCTCCCCCAAATAAACAACCTTGTACAAGTTTGGTCCATAGCAATAGTTTACTTGGCCAAGGTCAAAGACTTGCAGAACTTTTCCAGTCTGACTCCCCATCTCTCTGGATCTGTTTTTGCCTCAATAAATATTTGTTGAACCGAGAATGTTTGTCTTTCTAGCTCTCCCTCTCCTTTATTCTGTGTTTTCATATACACAGGGTCCACCACAAATAATGCCCCTTTTTATTACAGAATATTTTATTACAAAATCATAAGCATGTAATTCTGGGACAATAACAATATCACACTCAAGCACACAATATTACATGTTAGGTGAAACATTCAAATTGCTGTCCATCTCATGTGAGACATTTATGTATCCTACCAACCACACTCAAGCAAGCCTTACTTCTGCCAGACCCTATACTTCTTTTTTCTTTTTAAATTAGAAATGACCGGAACTTTTTTTTTAATTTATTTTTGGAGAGAGGGGAAAGGAAGGAGAAAGAGAGGGAGAGAAACGTCAATGTCTGGTTGCCTCTCGTGAGTTCCCTGCTGGTATCTGGCCTGCAACCCAGGCATGTGCCCTGACTGGGAATCAAACCACGATCGCATGGTTCGCAGGCCCTCACTCAATCCACTGAGCTACACCAGCCAGGGCCAGACCCAATATTTCTTGCTCCTTGCTCTTTCTGTATCTGTCTCTGCTTCTCTCTCTTTTTCTTAATTGGTCTTCATCTCTGTT